TCTTATTTCGTTGTCGTATATTTCCTGTGTCTCGTATCGTTGTCGTATATATCCTGTATCTCATTTCGTTGCCGTATATATCCTGTATTTCATTTCATTGCCGTATATATCCTGTTTCTTATTTCGTTGTCGTATACATGTATATCACGTTTCTCATATCATTCATTTCGATTTGGTCACGTCATCTTGACTTCGACCACTTACAAATTTCTAAAAATTAAAACAATTGATATTTCATTTTTATATTGAAATAGTCTTCAAATCAAAGGTTTTTTTGTTTTAATTTCCAGAAAAGCAAATCCACAACTGATTTAAGGACTAAGCAGGTAGACATAGAAGAGGTAAAGCTAGATTTGACATTATTTAGTGATAACAAAGACAAAGAAGGTATTTAACACTTCTCCTCCGTCATACAAGAAACATAATAACTTACAACTCGTCAAGAAAATCCATCTTTCCGTGTGTTGGTGTTGTTTCCGTTGTTTTTGTTTTATCGTACAATTCTGTATGAGTGTTTGACCAGTCTGAACAAGTCACTCTTTTGCACAGATACCAACACATCGAAAGAACAAAGATTTCTCTTTAATAATTTTAGCAAATAATCTAAATGTCATATTTTGGATTTGTAATAACGGGAAAAGATAAGTCCCTATGTAAAAATAAGGAGATGTGGTATGATTGCCAATGAGACAACTATCCACCTAAGTACACATTAATTGGATATAAATAATTATAAGCTACCGTACGGCCTTCAACAATGAGAAAATCCCATTCCAGACTATACAAGGCACTGAAATGATAAAAATGAAATAATTCAATCGAGAAAACTACGGCATAATTTATAACAAAATAATTTACTATGTCTGTTTCATTTTTTAAATTCATTTGATATTAAAATCATGCATTTTACATTCCAAAATGAGTGAATGCACTTCTTAATAGAATCTATATAGAAACATAATGAAGAGTGAAAAATCAAAATCTTGTTCGGTGCCATTTATAGGTGCACACATTGAACAAATATAAACGAAACGACAACACGAAGAGATTTATTATTTATCCTCCAAGACTATTAATTAAACAGACACAATTTTATCAACAACAGCAGTGGCATAACTATTACAGTTACCAATAAGAAAATCCATCTTTCCGTGTGTTGGTGTTGTTTCCGTTGTTTTTGTTTTATCGTACAATGCTGTATGAGTGTTTGACCAGTCTGAACAAGTCACTCTTTTGCACAGATACCAACACATCGAAAGAACAAAGATTTCTCTTTAATAATTTTAGCAAATAATCTAAATGTCATATTTTGGATTTGTAATAACGGGAAAAGATAAGTCCCTATGTAAAAATAAGGAGATGTGGTATGATTGCCAATGAGACAACTATCCACCTAAGTACACATTAATTGGATATAAATAATTATAAGCTACCGTACGGCCTTCAACAATGAGAAAATCCCATTCCAGACTATACAAGGCACTGAAATGATAAAAATGAAATAATTCAATCGAGAAAACTACGGCATAATTTATAACAAAATAATTTACTATGTCTGTTTCATTTTTTAAATTCATTTGATATTAAAATCATGCATTTTACATTCCAAAATGAGTGAATGCACTTCTTAATAGAATCTATATAGAAACATAATGAAGAGTGAAAAATCAAAATCTTGTTCGGTGCCATTTATAGGTGCACACATTGAACAAATATAAACGAAACGACAACACGAAGAGATTTATTATTTATCCTCCAAGACTATTAATTAAACAGACACAATTTTATCAACAACAGCAGTGGCATAACTATTACCGTTACCAATAAGTTTATTGAGTAAAATAGAAAGTAAAAATGAAATTCTTATTTGACAATTAATCAACTAAGCACTAGTTATTCCAAAAACATGTGCCATGTGGTTCACGATCGGTACCGTAACTTTGTATTCTAATACAATGAAATTGATGATGATGGATGGCTGCTTAATGTCCAGCGGCAAATTAATATGCATATGCAGGACGAGAACATCTTAATGTATTATGAAATTTAGCCCTGCTTTGTACTAGACCGACACGCTGAGTCGGATTTTTAACGAGCTAGTTCACAGGGTAACAGTCCACAGGAAGACATGTCACCTTACCCGGACACATTATTCTGACTCCGAGCTAACCAGTCTTTGCTCTTACTCCTTAATGCCGCGTGCTTAGCGGAGACGCATCAAATACCAATTTTAAAGTCTAAGGTTTGACCCGACCGGGGTTCGAACCCACGACCTCCCGCATTCGAGGCGAACACGCTACCACGAGACCACCGAGGCGGTCAATGAAATTGAAGGCAATCTTCTACTCTCATAATTTCTCTTTTGTTTAGACAATCCAGATACGCCAAGATCATCAAATAGTGTATGGTACACATTTAGTGAAATAGAAGACGACCCACCTAGACCAAGGCTAAAGCCATTTCTCACTCCATTAGAAGAAAGACATGAGAAAACAAGAGTACTACATCTATCGGGACCCACAAAACCAAACGCCACTGAATCTGTCGATCCATTTCTTCTCGATTTAACCAGTACCAGTCCACTTGAACCTGTAAACTCATGTACACATGAACCCATAAAAAGATTGCTAGCTGTGTCAACTGATAAAAATGAACCAACCAAATCAGTTTAGATTGAAAAACCATATCAAAAACGTGACAGTGAATCTACCATTGTAAACTCTCTAAAGTCTGCTGGTAGATTTCAGCGCTTTAGAAAATGGTTTAAACGACTTTGCTGCTGCTGTAGTCAGAATGCCGAAGAAAGTAAACAAGTGTTATCTTGATTTATTGCGACATATATCCTTTCGTTAACTTATCTATATTTTTATTTGTTTTATTAAAATGATTTTTTTAAAGTGTTTATGCATATCTATAATAAAATAGAGAACAAATACAACCCAAATTAGAAAAGCTAAAGTACATATAAGCTTACAGAACGAGTAGATGGTCACACCATGCAGAAAACACAGGCATTCAGGAGCATGTAAAAAGGCCATAGTTTCCATTTGTCTCCCCATTGAACTAGTTTTAGACAAGAATGTACGCGTTGTCGTGCTAAGCATACCCTTACTCGTAATTCAAACTATTGGATAACAAGAAATTGATGCCCGATTGATCAAAGAAAATGCTCACACGTTAAAACTCATCCCTACAAAGCTGTTAACCAAATATAAAATCATTCTGCTCAGAAGTATCTGCACAAAAAAATGTGAAGAGAAAATGTGTTTTGGACGAACGGATGGGACTGACGAACAGACGGACGAACAGACAAGGTAAATGCTTTGTAAAAGTGGGGGATGTATAAAAAAAAACATGTTCAATCTTGTGACAGCAGCAATTCACAACTGCGTTTTCTTTTAAAACATAATATGTAGATGAATACGCTTATAAATGTAAAGATTGGGGAATCATCCTTGAATGTTGCTTATTTTATTAGTAGGCGTTACGTGTTTTTTTTTTTTTTTTTAATATGCATATATTCAGAAAAGACCAAACAGTTACTATAGTTTTCTTGTTATACAATTGAACGTGTGTTTTCCAACATTAGACAGCGCAAACTTGGTTTAACCACATGAAATTTGGACCTGCACGTGTATTTTGTTGTTGTTTTTCTTTATAAGTTTATTGTTTTGGGGGAGTTTGGTGCTAGTGTTATCTGTTTGTTGTACGACAGATATTTTGGGTTATTCCTGTATTATGATTTACTTACAACATTATATTTCTGAAAGTGACGGTTTATGTTTAATCTATTCACACTTTCTGTAGAATAGGGGTACTCTTGGCAAATACTTAAAGACGCTTGTTTATTGTTGAAGACATTTATGCTTAGACCTGTAGCAGTGGTGTAGAGGTGATTTGTATAGTTTGGTGTCTGCACAGTCACAGAAACCTTTTAAACTTTTATTGTATTCAATTCTAACAAAAGCATTGCTTACAATAAGTAAACAGAATTTGGTAAATGTCAAAAATAGAGAAAGAAAATACCAAAAGGGACAAAGAACAACAAAGGTTTACAAATATCACACATAAAAGTATTCTGTAAGGTGAAGCGCGTTCAAATGTAGGAAAAAAAGATGTCACAGGTAATGACAATGAAATAGTGAATTTCTCTTTTTTTTTTTTAAATGTATTCATTAGGAATTCGGTGAAGTATTCATTTTGTTTTCTCTTTCTTAAACTTTGGAAATTCGGTGAAGTATTCATTTTGTTTTCCCTTTCTTTAACTTTTTGTTGAACTTTTATTAGTAAATAATTGACATGATATTAAAAAGAAAGTTGTTAAGCTAAATCAGCATGTCCGTTTCTTCCAGTGTCTGTATATGGTAGACAATTACTAGTAACATGAAATGAAAGACCCAAAATGAAGCAAAAGAGGGACGAAAGATACCAGAGGGACAGTCAAACTCATAGATCGAAAACAAACTGACAACGCCATGGCCAAAAATATTGTCTGATGATTTTTTTTTTGTATTGCTATATAAAAACGAGACGTCTACTTTGACCAAATTTTATTTGTATTACAATAATCAGGAAAGGTAAAACATTTGCAATAAAAAACAATCACTGATATAAAACAAAATATTGACCATATAGTCAACCCCTATATCCCATGGATTCTAGAGATAAAGTTAATTCAAAGTAAATGATATGTTTCATTTACTATTTGTATAAAAGACATAAGATAATTGATTTTACTTAAACCAAACAAGAGATTATATTTCAAATTATCTTTTTTGCGATTTTATTTCCTACCAGATCTGTGACTTTTGAGCTGAATGATGCAAAATATTGCAATCATGAATTAACAAGAAAATATAATGATTATTTATAGACTAACATATTACTGCGCCGATTTATATTTAACAAACTGACCTTTAACTATAATTATGTCAGGACTGAATTAATTTATCATTATTATTTACAATAAATTTTATACAAGTATCGATCCGATTTTAGTAGGTAAATACCTTTTTTTTCTTTTTTATTTCATATATTTGAGGATTATTTTTGGTCGTTACTATCGAATGTTTACTTATGCTATTTACCTAGTTTCATTTTGTTGTGCAATCCCTAAAGTACACACCTCCATCAATAATCTTATAAAATTTGTCTTTAACTTCAACCACATTTAAAGCGATTATCCACACGAAACTGTTTGGATCTTATATGGTCAGAAATTTTATATAAAAGTGTTCTTACAAATTCTAAAATGTCTGGAAGAGGAAGAGGTCGTGGTAGAGGAGGATCAAGTCGTGGTAGAGGAGGATCAAGTCGTGGCAGAGGAGGATCTAGTCGTGGCCGAGGAAGTAGACGGGGTCGTGGAGGATTTGGTCGCAGCCGAGGTTCAAGATCACAGAATTGTAGGTCGCGATCGCCATCACCTGACACTACTACAGAAGTGGCAGAGCCTTCGATGGACGATGTGAAGTCGTTTTTCATGGGGAAAGTTTCTTTTGAGCAGCACATCAAAGGACAAGAAGAAAACAGAGATAAATATACTGCTGCAATATCTACAATGATGAACAGTGGTGTAGATGTTGTACAAAGTGAGTAAACTTATATTTTTATCTATTTTTCATTACTAATTTAAGTTATTAAGCATGTTGATGACTTATATTACCTGACAAGCTTTTGATTTTTAACCGGCTTTTCGAAAGAAAAATCGGTTATTGATTTGGGGATGTACGGCGGGCGGGCGGCTGCCAAACAGTGTCCGTTCATTAAACCCCTTTGACGAAATATATTTATACATATCAATTTTTTTTTTTAAATTTCTTTATCTAAAATTTTTGTTGAAATTCTTGAGTACGCATTCTGAATAATTAATTCTTAAAAAAACTCACAAGTATCCGAAAAAAAGTGATAAGGGGTGTGAAAAATGTCTGTCACTTCTTACGAAATATTTTGTACCTACCACTATTTTCATCTTATTGTAATAATATTTCTGGTGAGCAGAAATGCAATTAAATTACCGGGGGGGGGGGGGGGGGGGGGGGGGGGGGGGTGAGACATGAACAAATCCGTATGGCAAACCGGTTAACAGTAAGAAAATGGTATATAATCATATTTACAAAACAAGCATTTGGTATTTATTTTCATTCTAATTATCTCCTTCATTTGTTGAGATTGTTGCCTTTTACAAATAAATCAACAATAGACGGAATGTTACCGTTTTACAATATAAATTACACCTTTTCTTGCATACTTTGTATTATTTCTACTATTCAATATATCTAGTCTTATACATGGATATATATCATAACCTTGTCTGAGACTTACAACACGTACACGGGGATTTTTATTGAATCTTAGTTATCTAAATTTATTTACAGATGCAAGAGTACGTGCGTTAGCAGCAAGTTGGGCAAGAAAGGATCAGGAGTTGGCCAGTGCTTTGATTTCTGTCCGCAGTCAATACACATTTGTCGAAGTCTTGAAAGCATTAACTATCTTGGACGCTGGAAGGTCGGCACGTGTTGTTGAGAAAAAAATCAAAAGGCTACAATGTCAGAAAACAAAAGTGTCACCCAAGAAGCTCGGGAAACTAAAATCAGAGCATGACAATTTGTTAGCTCTTAAACCCAACGTAAGTGTATTTTTGAGGGCGTTTATATCGTACGTTTCTTTCTTTATAAACACTGCACTTTTCAATGAAAAATAAATTAACAAAAAACGAAGATTATTATTGCGAATGATTGACCTTAGTATTGAAATCAAATAAGTCTGTTTAACTACATTTCATCTGTATACCAGAATATAAATAAATATAGTTGTATTTATTTCATTTAGACCGGAACAGCAACTGGTGCCGTTGTAAAGCAGGTGAGAAAATGGGTCAAGACGTTTACAAAAGACGAACTGGAGTTCTTCGCTTTACATTTTCCCGTAGACCCTTGGAAGAAACTTGCGGATATTTGTCACTTCAATCCTGAAAAAGTAAGTATTCTTGAATAATGCCCTACCTCCCAAAGCACCTGGTATCACACCTAGTTAACTGGGTTTATTGTCTACAAAGTTGATGTGCGTCTGGTTCTGTTGGCCTGTTGTTCGGAGTTTTCTCGATCATGTACTGTCCTCAGGATTTCAAATTACCGATTTCTCCGTTAACATAACTTTATTCTCGACTCTTGTATTTATTGACTTTATTTGGTAATTATTTAATGGAAGTACCCACATTGGTTTGATAATGCAACATTGCCTATGCAAGATTGTAGATTTTATACGACCGCAAACATTTGCGGCCGTATATAACGGTATGGCGATGTCGTCGTCGTCCGAAGATGTTTGGTTTCCAGACAATAACTTGTTTATAAGTTATGGGTCTCTATGAATTTATACCACAAAGTTTCATACCACATTATAAAAGTTGGGATTGATTTTGGTGGTTATGGCCTAAACCGTTTAGGAATTGGGGGGTTAAAAAAGGGCCCAAAACAAGGATTTTCTGGTTTCCGGACAATAACTTGAGTATAAGTCTATGGATCTTTATGAAATTGTACCACAAGGTTCCATTCCAAAAAAGAAAGGTTGGGATTGATTTTGGAGGTTATGGCCATAACCGGAATTTGGGGCCAAAAAGGGGCCAAAATACTACTTTTCTAATACTCTGTTTTAATTGCTTATTTCTGGACCAATTCAATGGGGTTTAATTCAAAGTCGTTCAATTCTTGGGATTCTTTAATATGCTGAATCTAACCGTGTATTTATATTTGGATTTTGGTCCCCTTTTTATACGACCGCAAAAAAATTTTTGTGGTCGTATATTGGTATGACGTTGGCGTCGTCGTCGTCGTCGTCGTCGTCGTCGTCGTCCGGCGTCGTCGTCGTCGTCGTCCAGCGTCGTCGTCCGAATACACATTAGTTTTCGCACTCTAACTTTAGTTTAAGTGAATGAATCTCAATGAAATTTTACCATAAGGTTCAATACCACAAAAGGAAGGTGGGGATTGATTTTGGGGGTTATGGTACCCACAGTTAAGGAATTAGGGGCCAAAAAGGGGCCAAAAATAAGCATTTTTGTAACTTCCAGACATAACTTGTGTGTAAGTGTATGGATCTCTCTGACATTGTACCACAAGGTTCCATATCATAAAGGGAATGCTGGGATTGATTTTGGGGGTAATTGCCTCCAAATTTTAGGAATAAGGGGCCAAAAAGGGGCAAAAAACAAGCATTTTTCTAGTTTCATGACAATAACTTGTGTGTAAGTGTATGGATCTCTCTGAAATTGTACTGCAAGGTACCATACCTCAAAGGGAAGGCTGGGATTGATTTTTGGGGGTAATTCCCTCAAAATTTTAGTAATTAGGGGCCATAAAAGGGCAAAAAACAAGCATTTTTCTAGTTTCAGGACAATAACTTGTGTGTAAGTGTATGGATCTTTATGAAATTGTACTGCAAGGTTCCATATCACAAAGGGAAAGCTGGGTTTGAGTTTGGGGGTAATTGCCCTAAACGTTTAGGAATTTGGGGCCAAAAAACAAGCATTTTTCTAGTTTCAAGACAATAACTTGTGTTCAAGTGTATGGATCTCTCTGAAATTGTACTGCAAGGTACCATACCACAAAGGGAAAGCTGGGATTGAGTTTGGGCCAATGGGGTGATGAATCATAAGGGGGTACAAAAAAATTTGGGGGATTTTTTTTTCTTTTTTTCATACATGTAAACCTCCCGACGGTAGTACAATAATCCCGTTTTCAGGGGTCTCCTCCCGACCTCGCGTTGAAGAGAAAAAAATCCTGTGTATGAAATCTGCCCAACATATCATCTCAGACATCTGGTGTAACTGACATCACCTGAAGTTATATTTTACCTGTAAATCAATTAACATGCATAATTATATGGCTTCACTTGTCAGCTTGGGTGTCAAACATTCTGGTAATCAACGATTTTTACCTCAGGCTAACTGCCGTTGTGTAATAAAAACTTTGTGTATTTATTGGGTTACTTCCCCTGATTTATCCTGTTTTAAGTTACTTTCCTTTAAATAATGTAAATTTTTAAAAGAATATAAATAAAATATAAATTGAACAAATAATCATAAAAGGATGGTAATTAAATGATTTTAAATGTCTTAGGACAAATAAAAAAATAATAATTTGAAAATTATTTGAGGGTTCTATACTTTCTTTCAAGGCTTAAATTGAATTCATATAATAACTATGACCCATGTTCTAAATTTAAATGAGTTTCTGATTATTCAAATAAAATCTAACTGCAAATGCAGATCGGTAAACAAATGATCTGATTGCAATGTTTGTCCTATAGAATAATGATATAAAAGATATGAATTGAAAAATTTGAAGAACATACTAAAAAAAAAGAATCTTAGATTGAACATGTAGAATATTAAGATAAAGAAACTTTATAAGTACAAGGGTACTATAAACATAATACATAATACATTCGGATTGAAAGTTGAAGAAAACACACTTTAAAAGACAATTTTTACAGCACACGGTTACGTTTACGACAAACTTTATGTCGATTAAAAACCTCCTGATCTGAGTCCTAATCTCCTGACCAAAATTTTCCAATCTCCTGATCTGAGTTTCACAGTCCATCACATGTATGTTTTTTTCTTTAAAATTTTCCATTTTAAATTGGTTATTTCTGATGTATATATAAAAGCAAATAACAACGATATGGTTTGAATAGGTAAATTAAAAAATTTTAAGTTCTTAGACCACTTTCATTCTGTGTGAGAAACCTATGCTGTGTCAAATATTTAATTACAATCCAAATTCAGTGCTGTATCAAGCTTGAATGTTGTGTCCATACTTGCCCCAACTGTTCAGGGTTCGACCTCTGCGGTCGTATCAAGCTGCGCCCCAGCGGAGCATTTTATTTTAAATTGGTCCACAATGAGATCTAATAGGTCCAAAATTGAATTTGATATTCGAATCCATCCGTGTATTTATATTTTTATACGACCGCAAAAAAATTTTTGTGGTCGTATATTGGTATGACGTTGGCGTCGTCGTGGTCGTCCGGCGTCGTCGTCGTCGTCGTCGTCGTCCGAAGACACATTGGTTTTCGCACTCTAACTTTAGTTTAAGTGAATGGATCTCTATGAAATTTTACCACAAGGTTCAATACCATGAAAGGAAGGTTGGGATTGATTTTGGAGGTTATGGTACCAACAGTTAAGGAATTAGGGGCCAAAAAGGGGCCAAAAATAAGCATTTTTGTAACTTCCAGACATAACTTGTTTGTTAGTGTATGGATCTCTCTGACATTGTACCACAAGGTTCCATATCACAAAGGGAATGCTGGAATTAATTTTGGGGGTAATTGCTTCCAAATTTTAGGAATTAGGGGCCAAAAAGGGGCAAAAAACGAACATGTTTCTAGTTTCATGACAATAACTTGTGTGTAAGTGTATGGATCTCTCTGACATTGTACCACAAGGTTTCATATCACAAAGGAAATGCTGGGATTGATTTTGAGGGTAATTGCCTCAAAATTTTAGGAATTAGGGGCCAAAAAGGGGCCAAAAATAAGCATTTTTCTAGTTTCAGGACAATAACTTGTGTGTAAGTTTATGGGTCTTTATGAAATTGTACTACAAGGTTTCATATCACAAAGGGAAAGCTGTAATTGAGTTTGGGGGTAATTGCCCAAAAAGTTTAGAAATAAGGGGCCAAAAAGGGGCCAAAAATAAGCATTTTTCTAGTTTCCAGACAATAACTTGTGTTCAAGTGTATGGATCTCTCTGAAATTGTACTGCAAGGGACCATACCACAAAGAGAATGCTGGGATTGATTTTGGGGATAATTGCCTCAAAATTTTAGGAATTAGGGGCCATAACGGGGCCAAAAATAAGCATTTTTGTAACTTCCAGACATAACTTGTTTGTTAGTGTATGGATCTCTCTGACAATGTACCACAAGGTTCCATATCACAAAGGGAATGCTGGGATTAATTTTGGGGGTAATTGCTTCCAAATTGTAGGAATTAGGGGCCAAAAAGGGGCAAAAAACGAGCAGTTTTCTAGTTTCATGACAATAACTTGTGTGTAAGTGTATGGATCTCTCTGACATTGTACCACAAGGTTCCATATCACAATGGAAATGCTGAGATTGATTTTGGGGGTAATTGCCTCCAAATTTTAGGAATTAGGGGCCAAAAAGGGGCAAAAAACAAGCATTTTTCTAGTTTCAGGACAATAACTTGTGTGTAAGTGTATGGATCTTTATGAAATTGTACTACAAGGTTCCATATCACAAAGGGAAAGCTGGGTTTGAGTTAGGGTGTAATTGCCCTAAACGTTTATGAATTTGGGGCAAAAAAGGGGCCAAAAAACAAGCATTTTTCTAGTTTCCAGACAATAACTTGTGTTCAAGTGTATGGATCTCTCTGAAATTGTACTGCAAGGTACCATACCACAAAGGGAAGGCTGGGATTGAGTTTTGGGGTGATGAATCATAAGGGGGTTCAAAAAATTGGGGGGGGGGATTTTTTTTCCCTTTTTTTTCTTTAAAATTCTCCATTTTAAATTGGTTATTTCTGATTTATATATAAAAGCAAATAATAATGATATGGTTTGAATAGGTAAATTAAATTTTGTTTAAGTTCTTAGACCACATTCATTCTGTGTCAGAAACCTATCCTGTGTCAAATATTTAATTACAATCCAAATTCAGTGCTGTATCAAGCTTGAATGTTGTGTCCATACTTGCCCCAACTGTTCAGGGTTCGACTTCTGCGGTCGTATCAAGCTGCGCCCCAGCGGAGTATTTTATTGGTTATTATCTTGAATATTATTATAGATAGAGATAAACTGTAAACAGCAATAATGTTCAGCAAAGTAAGATCTACAAATAAGTCAACTTGACCAAAATGGTCAGTTGACCCCTTAAGGAGTTATTGCCCTTTATAGTAAATTTTTAACCATTTTTCGTAAATTTTTGTAATCTTTTACAAAAAACTTCTCCTCTGAAACTACTAAGACAAATTTAACCAAACTT